GCTCCGCCTGGGAAAGGAGAGGGAAATTACTGTGTGCTCACTCCTGCCCTCTCAAGCCGCTTCTACTTCAAATCACTTAAGTGGTGCAGGGTGCACAACTTTCTCTGCCCCGCGTCGCTGGGGAAGTACAGCTCTCAGCTGACCAGATCTTCGTGATTGCCATCGAGCCTGCAGTTTAAAAAAAAAACCCCCCAAAATCCCACAACCAACCACACAATGCCCCCAGCCCCCCCGGTTAAAGTCTGTGCAAGATGTTCTCCTTGTCCCTGAGCGCAGATGAAGAAGCTTGGTCTGTGCCAGGCTGCCCCGCACCCCGGCAGTGCTGCTGCTGAAAGACCCAAGTCCGTGGAGAAGGGCTTACCCAAAACACTTCACTGAAGGGCACAATCGCCAGCGTGGGTGACTTCACACCTAAGTTCACAGGCAGAAAGGATCCTGCTGGTGCTCACATCGCCCCTTTCATAGCAGCTCACCTTGAGAGAAACCTGGAAAAGGATTAGAAAATGTAAAGGGGGGGAAGGGTGTAAAAAGCACCCAAAGCTGAATGGTTTCCACAACCTGTTGGTCTGAAACAGACTTTGTATGCATTACAAACAAAACTGGGGCATAGAAAGAGCAGAGAGCTCAGGCAGTTGAGCAGCTATTACTTAAACAGCCCTAAGTTATTAGACCACCAGAGAGATCATCCCAAAGCATCACCGGGGCAGTCAGTTTCCTTCTGGATTGTTTCATCTGTACCTGGGACCCACAGCAGCACCTAAGGATTTTTCTGATGAAAAATCCCTGCCACCCCATACTTCTCAGGGGATTTGAGGATGGAGCCCAGGGGACAGGAAAAGGAGGAACAGTTGTACCTCTTCCTCCCAGCTTTGCTCTGTAGCCAGTAGAGGCAAGTGCTCTGGAGCGATCGTCTTGTTGCTGCAGCTACACGGATAGGACTGGATAACCGATCCAACTGGAAAAGACTCTTTTTTGTTAGGTTAATTCTCAAACAGATCATTTTCCAACCCAGGCCACAGTGCAGCTGATGCATAAGGAAGCTTGATCTGTTGCTAACCTTCCAAAATTAGGCACCTAATTGGGATCTCCTTTTAGACCTGCCTGTCCAGAATGTAATTTCAAATGCTAGCTAGAGGATATGGTAATAATTGTTGAAAAGGCACAGAAAATTACCAGGCACTTAAAGGCTCAAGCAAATACAAACAGCTCTTCTGTTGTAACATTGTATGCACTTTGTTTTTGTTGGCACCAATATCCAACCAAAGGCAAAACAAGTAATCCAGCTATGGAATAAAGGTGAAGTGTTACTCTTTACACACACACCAGGCATCTCTTGTCTGGCCTTCTGGATGCCACGAAAGGTAGGGACCCTTGGTGATGGCATCAGCCCAAGAGAACACACAAATTCTTAAAAACTAGCAGGTGGCTGCTGCACTACTTGTATCGGCTTTTCCAATCTTACCTTCACACAATAGAGCATTTTCTTAGGCGAGAGGTGGGGCAGACCAGGCTGAACCATCAAAATTACATTGGACAAGCGTTCAGCTGGCTGATTTCAGAGATTCATAATTTCTGAAGCTCAACAAGAGGCATACAGCCTCCAGGAACTGTGCCAGAGTGAGTCTGAGCGCTATGGTGGCAGGAAAATTTCACAGCATGATGGAAACCACACAGTAAGTACAAGCATTGGGGGAGACTATAAACAAAGAGAGTCAGGAGCAACGCAGACAGCCTCCAAGCACGGTGTGCTTTCTCTCAGCGTATGCAGGTAGTCTACACTCTCAGCTCTTCTCAACACAATCAAACATGAGACATGCAAAACTGATTCTGTTGCTCAGCCAAGGTATAAAGGAGGGGTAGCTTGTCACACTTTGCCTTTCAGATCATGGTCTGAGCAGGTGCTCAAGAGTGTGGGCACAGCCCAACAATCACTGCTAGTGGGAAACTTTCTCAGCAGTAAGCAGAGTGTGTATGCCAATCAGGGAGCACACCCACCTGTAAAGCCACATTACAATATGTAACCTGAAAAGAAGCTCAGATTTGACTCAGTGGAACCTGGGATGAAATTGCCTGGCTAACAGTTTGCCAAAGGCACCTTCCTTTGTAACCACTGCGACACAAGTAACGTGAACCTGGACAGTACCACTTACAGACACACTTCACAGAGGAGGGGCAACATAAACATGCAGAACAGATTTTTGACTAGTCATTAAACTGCATGAGATGTACAACAAAAATGAAATAGTCTCTGTATTAAAGAACAGTAAAAATCCTATTTTCTGCAAAAACTCGATTTGGGAGGTGGGAGTGACTAATAATCCCTGTTTTAAACAAGTGAACAAAGAAATCCTCTCATAAAACACAACAACTGTCACATCGACGCCAAAGTGCTGGCACTAAAACTGAGAGCTCATCAAGATCTAGTGGTGAGTGGAGAGCTGAATTAGCTCTTGCTTACCCAGATGCAGTTCCCAGTTAAATCAATACCGGTTATGCCTACTGAGACTGAAGGGCAGAACTGAACTATCACAACTCTGATTCTGCTAAGCTTAAACATATGTAGTATCACCTCAGTAGGCCCACTGAAATTATTAAAATTACTCCTGGCAGTCTCATATCACTGATAATTATTAACAGTCAGTGTTTCCAAAGTTTATCATGGTTTGTTATTTGTCAGTCTCATCAGTAATCTATCATTTTGCAGGTGTAACAGTATTTTGGTCAACTGAGCTACGGCCAGACACGATATAAACAGGTAACACTAAAACTTTTATTCCAGTTTAATTTCTACTGAAGCTGAACTTGAGGCAGTCGGTATCAGAAGTCAGTAAGTATCTTCAGGAGCTTTTAGATTTTCAAACTACCTGAATTAATGTAAATCAAAATTCATCTTTTTTTCGACCGGCGCTGCCTTAATGATCTCAATGGGCCATGCTTTCCCTTTCTTCTGAAAAAGAGGATGAATTTGAATTAATTGCTAAGAGGAAAATTAGACCAGTGTACCTGCTGTAGCTTATCTTTATATGCCTTTTACATCACCTCAAAGATCACTTGCTAAACCGATTCTGCAGCTCGATGTCATTTTAACAAACACACTATGGTTGCTTAATTAAACTGTTAGAAACAAAATCAGGGATTCACAAACTATGGCATTTTATTTCAGAGGCCTTTGCTTACATTTGTACAATATATTACATAATTCTCCATTTTCTGCAGAACCTAATATATATTTTATAGCTTTTTTTCTATAAGCTTTTCCTTCAATGTTTGTCAACAAATTTTTACAGTCCTGTACAATTCTGAATACTTTGAAACCATTTTCAATAAAATCAGTTAACCTTAAGCACACACTACGAAGACTGAAAATGCTTTTCTTAGAAAAGTCAAATGTAAAGGATTCTGACACTCTAGCATCTACAAACAAAATGCTTTGAATTCTTACATGTTGTATTGCCAGAAAACAAAGAAAAACATGCCAGCCCCTATTTCCCCAGGCAAAAGAAGTACACAGAACTACAATTAAAACAGTAAAACAATCTGTACAATAAAGTACTGTGTATTAACAGTGCCAGGTATTAAATAGCTTGAATGAACACTTCCGCAATATACAAATGTCTTACAAAGGTATATAATTAACAGGAGAGAGCTTGGGATCCATACAACATAAAATCAATACAAGTGAAAACAGTTTTAAGTTGGTTTTGGAATTTGTACAAGGCATTTAAAAAATTAAATGTCTACCACTCAGCTAGCTATTTATTTTAAAAACAACTATCCTTTTGTGGCAGTGTTCATATCAGCAACCACAAATTATAACCTCACACCTTACTCCGTCTTGAAGTCCTCTCCTTGAAGCTCGTAATAAAATAAGCATTACAAATGAAGTATTTGTTGCTTTAAGGGAAAAGAAACATTTACAAGAAAACACAAAAATATAACTGTTATAATCCATTATGAATAAATATACACTTTAAACTGGCTAAATACAATCTTTATACATTAAGATTTAATACAGTTTGTTAGCCATTTTCTTTCTTTTTCATAATGTATTTTATCAAAATTAAAAAAAAAATACTGTTTTATAGAAAAATGGCAAAGTACAGTAGTTTCATTCCAATTAATGGGTTCTTAAAACCCAGAGTAACCTATTTAAGCCTAATTCAAACCTGTAAACATTAGTCAGTCTTTTTTTGTTTGCCTTTTTTTTTTTTTAAAGGAATCCTTGTATTTGGTTATCAGGACTGATGTCAAACATCCTACTAACTGCAGGTTTTGAATTGAATACATGTGCTTGACGTATACAATTAAAGCCACTATAAGGTGACTTAGCAGTTAAAAAACAATTAGCTTGTACAAATGAAAATAGGTTCAATATTTGTCATAAATAAATGGAAAAATATCAAATGTTCCAGCTTTAACAAAATACCAGGGAATACAGTAAGCCTTACCACATTTCTTTAGATCAACCCAACAACTATATGCTTATTGTACTGTCTCTACAGGCAGTGAACAGCCTCCATTTGCCACAGTGGAAGGCCTTCGAGTCACTATACTTACAATTCCCAGACAAGTTGGAAACAATTATTGCTCGAGGAAAAGCAGTTTGTTGTACTTTTTCTTCGTAAAAGTGCACTTAAGTGCAAAGTTAGCTTGTCAAGAAACAACTTTAAATACAAAATAGTGCTTGTCTGAATTTTGTGCCACTGTGCAGTATAAAAAAAAGAAAAAGAAAAAAAAAGAAAGAAAGAGTGGCCCTCAGCAGCCATTAAGTGCAAAGTGCTTTGGCAAGTCCTGCTGTCACCTGCACTCAACTGACATTCCATTCTGTGATGAACTTGACATAGATGGTTCTGCTAAAGTTAACATAACTGCAGCCGTAATGGAACTAGAGGAAGGTGATGAGGAGGAAGATGATGTAGTAGCGGCACCTGCACAGGAAAAGGAAAACACAGGTTATAAAAATGTACAAATTAAGCAATAACAATGTTTTCCCATCCAACAACAAGCACTGGTATATACTGACTCCAGCAACTAAGATGTACTACTTGAAAAGAAAAAAAGCCTCCATTCTCTAGCTTTTGTGGGAAGTACTCAGAAGACAGCACAGCATTGCCCCTTGCGGCCCTGGCTCATTGGCCACCCAGACGAAGGGCCCAGCTAAGGGATGCCAGAGCTCATTCCTGACTTGCCAGCACAGTCAATTGTTCCCCTTCTCTCCTGGGGGTGTCAGCACAGGCAGGGCCTTGTCCCAGCACTGAATCTCCACACACCCCCTGCTCCGGCAACCAAGAAGCAACTGTGGTTCCCCTGGTGATGACTGCAGCCATAAAATCTTACTGCACATGGCATGTCACGCTTTCTTCTTATCATACAACCATAGAATGGTTGGGGTTGGAGTGGACCTTGAAAGGCCATCTAGTCCAACCCCCTGCAGAGAGCAGGGACACCTTCCACTAGATCAGGTTCCTCAGAGCCCCGTCCAGCCTGACCTTGAATGTTTCCAGGGATAGGGCTTCTACCACCTCTCTGGGCAACCTGTGTCGCACCACACTCAAAAATTTTCTTCCTTATATCTAGTCTAAATCTACCCTCTTTTAGTTTAAAACCATTAACCCTTGTCCTACCACAACAGGCCCTGCTAAAAAGTTTGTCCCCATATTTGTCTCTTAAGTGTACACATAAACAAGACATGGAGAAAATAATCCTTTTAATTCTGCTAGAAGCAGGCACACTAGAACATTCCCTACAGCAACAGGTAAAGCAGCTCCAGGGAAATCAGACTTAATTGATGGTGTTCCTTAAACGCAAAATAAATCACTTATTCTAAAAGGAAAGCACTAAACAGACACACAAGCAATATTACAGTAAATTATTGCATAACTTGAAGAAAAGTTATAAGTTATTAATAACCTTAGATACTTTGTTCACTGCGTAGAAAAGTTTATATTTCTGTATAAAGTATTTCTGCCTAAACAGAATTAAACAAATTGCATGCCTTCTAAATGTTTTTCCCCTTACACAGTCACCAGATACCTGAACCACACTTTCTAAAGATCATAAAATAACTGTATAAAATGTTTAAAAAATGAAGCAAACCTACACTACTAACACATCTCCCTAAAAATTATCCAATTGTTGTTAACACCTTAATAACATGACATGCAATTTAGCCCCCTAAAAGTGGAATTTAGTTCCCAGCACTTACTTTCCCGCTCTTTTTTCTTTAAGCGCTTTCTTCTTCGGTCAATGGAAGCCACCTCAGATTTCAAGGACAGGTAATGTTTCCTGATTTCCTGCAATTTTTCTTGAAGAACTGTTATGCGTTCCGCACTAGTCAAATTTTCCAAGTCAGCTGCAAGTTAAACAACCTCTGTTAATTATTGTATTGCAGCATTTCCAAATACTTCTGAATTTCAGTGAAGTGGGAAGTACTCACATCTTAGTTATGTGCTCTCAGGTAGCAGACAGCAAAGCCAAGAAAAAAGCAACAGCAGTTGCTGTTTATTATCACAAACTTTGTACATCTTTAAATATTTTTTAAAAGATAACCACCATGGAAAGTGGGAGAGGAAGAAAATACATGCATTCTTCTCCTCATAGGAAGGAAAAGGGGAGGGTAAAAAAAAAAAAGAAAAAGAAAAAAAAAGACAACTGGTGAAAACATAGGGGCCAAAACTAACTTTGAGCCTGTTGCTTTGAGTCCTTGCTAGAGCTCAGTTTGGCCTAATACACCAGGAAGGTCAGTCTGGCCCGACTTGTCTTGGTTGTTACAAAACAAGCAGTTTACAACAGGAATCTGAATAGCTGTGAGCTGGTCCTAATTGAGTCCGTGGCATAAGTTAGTTAATAACTAACTCTACAGGACCTCCTTGCAGGTATCCCACGTGGGGATGTCTATGAACATGGCCAGCACAGGAGCTGCCCCTCTGGCTGCTTCCAGCTAGGAGCTCCCCACAGTGTGGCACGCAGCTGCGGGGGGCACAGGCAGGAGGAACTACCTGGGTCCAGTCCCTTTCAGCCACAGGTAAGCTGCACTGGAGATACTTCATTTGAAGACATTTAAGAATTATTTAAACTATTGTGAGGAACAGAATGCACTTCATCAACCTACAGTGTAGCTAGCACCAAAGGACCAAATGCCACAACTATATTAGGCTGTGGGAGGCTGAAGGAAGCTCAAGAAAGCTCAGAGACACTGCAAGTGTCTTAGACCCCTGTAAGAGCAGGAAACGTGTTAAACAGCACTCCTAAGTACAACTTCTGCCAAGCAGACGTGGCACACGCAATGTAGCCAAGGTAGAAAGGAAGGAAGGAGCAAAGCTCTTAGAATGTGTTGCACAGGAAATCTGCCTGATGAATCTCAGCAGGCCCAGAAGTGATAATAAAGACCTATTACATTACATGGTCATGAAGAGAAGAATGTAACTTGACTGTGAAGAACGACTAGGAGAAGAATACTTTTACTGTAGAGTAACACTGAGATTCAGGGCTGGAGGAAAAAAAATGCAGGGTCAGATTCTCTCACCACAGAAGCAGCTGGCTAAGCAGAGAATTCCCTGGGCACACCAGTGGCAGAGGATGCCACTCACAAAAAAATTCAGCAAATGTGTCTGCACAGTGTACTGTGCCAGGTCTTTCCTGTTCCCACTTAGCACGAGGAACAGCAGCCTTCACAAAGCCTGAGACACAGTGCAGAATAGCACATCATAATGCTCTGAGAACTTCAGAAACTTGACATATACTAAGGTCATCTGTGAATACTGAATGAGATACTGTGGATTACTTTAAGAAGCAATTTAAATCAGTCACACCACACAGTTTCAATTTGACCTTTAAGAGCAAAGACAAAGCAACTCATGCAATGCTATACACCTGTGGTTTGTACTAAGGACAACAACTTATTGTTGAACAGACAATTAAACACCCAGATGCCGTAAGAGAGGGGGCCAAAAATAGCAAGTTTTTGTTTTTAAATAATTGTTTTCAATTGTTTCCTTATTATTATATTGAGGAAGAAGGCTTCGGTCATCTGATATCTTATCTTACTTCTCTTTTCTCCTTGCTGCAAATAATGTTGCAATAGCACACACACACAGAGGCAATGAAAAAGCTGCATTAATATTGAGGCACTCATAAACTACAGATGGGCAAACACATGATCCTTTCAACACTGCTCACTGCTAGCTATACATGTACCCACAGCTGCCTGACACAAACACACTGCAAGTTCTTATTACTAGAAATAGTAAACATGTCCTGGTTCACTAAAGCAAAATGGAAAGGGAAAGTTATAAATCAATCATGCAAGTGTGTGAACAATAACTAGAGAATGAGGAGTAAACCAGCAAGAAAACATCAACACAAGGAGCACATACAGTGGGTAACATTCATGCCAGACTGACAGGTCTGCACAAGACTGCAAGAACCACAAGTCAGCGCAGGAGCCCTATCTAAAAAGGGTATTTGAAGAAGAGCATGATATAGGCAGTTTCGTGCACTGCAATTGCAAAAACCCACTATTTAAATCATTATTTATAATAAAATTAAACAAATTGAGGATAGAATAATTTTAGGGAAAAAAAAAATCAATATATACAGAATTCCAAAATCTGCCTTATACTATACTGGCAAGACCACACCAGGCGAATTCTAAAGAAAATACTTACACATTTGAAAACTCCATTTGTAAACTTTGGGCAAACGATTATTCTGCTCTTTGAGATCAGACTCCTTCTCTCCATTTTTCCCGCATTTTCCTGGAGATTGTGTTCTTGCGGGTGATTTGGTTTGGTGAGATTTCATGCCAGTAGAAACAGATTTTGCTGACTGAGACTTGGACAGACTTTCACCAGCAGATAGTTCTTCACTATCACTGCTGTTTGCTGAAGAAACAAGAAGATACTGTTACAAAACAAAGCAACCTTCCTGCCCAAACCAAAACTCATCAGAAGCTACCCTGTGCTGATTTTCATATAATAGGAGTTTATTTGACCAAAATCCTTTTACTCTAAAATGATACAATCCATCCTGGTACAGAAGCTTGGCACACAGCTCTCTGCATCACTAGTGCCTAAATACAGAACCCCAGAACTGGTATATAATGGGGCCCCTCTAATTCTGGCATGCCGTGAAAGGGAAACCAGTTAGGTGCTGCGCAGGGAGATCCATAGCTATTATGTGGACCTATGGGAACCAAAATCCCACAGAGCTAGAGGGTGGATAACAGTACCAGACTGTGGCTCCACAGCCCGTCCTGAAGACTGGTAAGTGTATTGCTGAAAGCGTGTGCGCAAGAACATAAGTGGGTGGGGTAGGGACACGCTTCTTGTAAGGAGATTCTTGAATACAATCCAACTGCTCGAGGTCCTCATAGGGAAGGTGCACTCTACTCTCTGAACAGTTCAAGACAGTCTCACACTTGTTGCTTTAGAACCATATCCATAACTAAATGCCTACATGAGAAAACACGGCAAAGAGGCAGTCGCTGTGTCACTGTAGGTGCAAAACTTAGCCGTGTATTTTGTTTTCGGGGCTATGCTTTTTCTAAAACAGTCAGCAACACTAATCACTATGTACTAACTCTTGTTTACCTTCCTTTTTTAATATTAATTTCTAATACAGCATTCCATATATCAAACTTCTGTCCTGTTTCAGAGGTACTAGTTACAGACAAACTTTTCACTGTACTCCTAGGACATATGCAGCAGAAATGAGTAAACAACTGGTCTTTTTCTTAGCCTTTATGTCACCTTTGTTTATTGTAGGCTTTCTGTGCTAAAATGACTAGCAATAATCTGAATTTGTGTGACATCATCTACAAAAATCCTAAAAGGTGATGATCAAATTCTTTAATTGCAGAAAAACATCTTCAGTTGACTCAAAACAGAAGAACTTCACCTCATGCTGATATAAAGCAACAGGCTGAACTGAACAGTTTTCTTATCAAAGCACCCAAAGAAGAGTAACAAAATAATGTCTCTAAGAGACATGATTTATGAGTGGTGACTGGAAGGATGAAGCTTGTTTAGCATTACACAAATAAAACTAGGGTGGAAGCAGGAGCAAAAGATTATAATTCAACTGAAGTCTAGTGAAGCACTGGAATAAAATGCCCAGGGAAGCTGCAGAATCTCCAACATTAGAGTTGTTTTTAAAAACACGTTTAATTAATATTTATCAAGAGAAACTTATGCCTCAGATGTACCTGCCCTAGGTGCTGACAAAATGAACCCTGAAAGTCTCTTTTGGTTCTGGTCTTTATGATCTCGTGATCTACACTAGAAAAACTGAACAACAACGTTCTTTTGTACCACATACACGTGGTATGAAAGAACTTGGCTGGCTGCAAAGCTGCTGCTGTCTGCTGGCTTAATGCAAAGGCAAGAGTTGAAGCTGCTACAAAAGCAGCTTTAACTGGTACACCTGAATTTTGCAAAAAGCATTTTTTGCTCACAACTGACTCCGTATTTTATCTATTTGTTGCCCTCAGTACATACAGCAACGCCCGAAGTCTAACAAAAAGAGTGCATACACACCAAGGACTGTACACAGTGTAAGAAACAATTCTAGCTCTGAAGTACAGGCATCCTGACAAAGGCACAGGTTGATAAAAAGGGATAAATTCACCAAATCAAAGGGAACAATGGCAAGGAAAAAAATAGTGTATTAGTTCTGTGAATTCAGTTTATTTTGTTACTTTAATTCCTGGTGTGAAGGAAAGAATAAGGATTACGGAAGGAGATTAGTGAAATGGAACGAAAAAAGGATGACAGAATGTGAAGAGGAGATCAATGAACGTGAAGGATGGGTGGGGTGAAAGCAAATACCAGACCAGAAAGCAGAGTTTTACTAAAAGCTGTTAAAAGAAAGAAAAGATGGGAGGTGGGATGGAGAGGAAGAGAGTGGAAAAAAAGGCATAGCATATGCTTTCTAACCTTGCTTCCACTGCATTTTTTACAGCTATCATCTTGGCTTCAATCTCCAGCTGATTGTTCCCTGGTATTTTTTATTAACACTGAGATCAGACAGTAATAGATCTCACTGTCTCCTGAACACATGTGCATGTGTCTCTCTAATACTCCTCTGCTTTTATTAAGCTTCTCTTCCCCAGTACTGTGGTTTCTATTCTAATTAGCTTCTACAGAAACGCTTTAAAAGCTGCATGATTTACTGAAGGTATAACAGATAATATAGGAAGAAAACAGAGCCTATATTTTTCTGGAATTATTCTCATATTTGCTAGTGGAAGAGATATTAACCTCTAAAAACTCACCTGCAGAAAATACTAAGTATAACTTCATCCAAGTTGCCTCTAAAACATGCAGCTATCACGCCACAGAGATTCTTGTCACAATTCTACCAAGCGTGAAATATTCACTTTACTGAAGCCTTCTTCAATTACGTGACATAAAGCATCTCTTATAAACAGGCCCAGAAATAACACAAGACATTTAAAAACGTTTTGGCATTCAGCAAGTTTCTTAGTTTCTTCCTTTAAACAATATTAAGAAATCCCTGATGAGAACATTTTGTCCTAATACATTTTTTATTCCCAGTCTTCGCCTCCTACCATCATTCAAACAAATGACACGATACTTTCACACATTTCATTTCACAACGAGCTGCTGTACTTACTAGTTTTACTCTTCTTTTTGTTGTTCACAGATGTTTTGTGGCTTCTTTTCTGCTTTTTTGAGGAGCTGCCTCCTCCCTGAGCATCTTTATGTCTTTTTTGGCCTGTACAGACTATAATTGAAAAAAGAAGGGAGGGGGGAGAAATAAACAGAAATTAAGTAAATACTTGCACTTCTGTGTGCTTTTCTCAAAGTCTAAAAAAACCCACTTCAGAGCTTAAGTTTGTAGACAGCAATGTGACTGTTCCTGCCTATTCTTCATACAGCTCAGCTTTTATATTGATAAGAGGAGATGAAGGAGGATGAAAGGCTGACAAAGTTTGTTGGTTAGAGTGCACATGTGACATGATTGCAAATAACTTTCCCCAATGCATCATAAGAACTTCTCTTGAACCAGAGGGATTTTATTTTTTTTAGTACTGAAAATTAAATAGGAATACTTTTTTTGCAGAACTTAACAAGAACTACTGAAACTGAAAAATGTTCAAAAAAGCCTGTTGTGCTTGGAAGCTGTGAGAAAAAACTAAAAGTATTAAAAAAAATCTTAAATAATGTTAAAAAAAACAAGGAAACGAAAAAAAGAAGGCAAACAAAAAACAAAGGAAAAAGTCTCCTGGTATTTGTGACTACAAGGGGAGAAAGTAGAAAAGGAACATAAAAGAATTCTTGTACATAGAATCAAAGAATGGTATGGGTTGGAAGTGACCTTAAAGACCGGTTAAAACAGCAAATTTTAGGAGTTGTTCAAAAGCTGTTCCACAATCACTGACTTACACATAAAAATGACTCGTAACAAAACCGTTTGAATTAAGAAACCCAGTCTTCTAAAACAGGCAGAGTGCTGACAAAATCAGAGAGGAAGTTAAAGTCTAATGCATGTAAAATTAATATTGTGCAATAGTGTAAAACTTTTAAAATGTGGTAATAATTTCCTTTTATATATAAAAGCAAACAAATTGAGTTCTGAACCTACACATCTATAATTAACAAAGCAATACAGGCATATTTCTTGAGGGCTATATGTTCACCTCTTCCAAACTCTTTCCTTTGTTTAAGGAAACACATTTTGCTGCATTCTTTCAAAAGAACAATTCAAACAATGATAAAGGTAATACATCTTAAGGGCATTTGGAGAAAATACACTTAATTATTAACTGAAATCTGAGATGAAAAAAACACTTCTAAGGACAATATTCAGACGTTTTTTGTTTTTTTTTTTTTTCTATGGTATTAATAATTTTTTAGGCACTTCAACACAGTGAAAGTAGCTGCACTTTTGCTGGAACTATAAAAGAGCCAGTGACTTTCACAATAAAACTTTAGGATCCAGCCTTGCAAACAGTTAAAAGCAGGCAGCATTACACTGACATCATGTACCCAAGTACATCCCCTATTCTCTAGTGGTCTCAGGATAGGAACTTCAAAATCTACAAAATCACATCTGAAAGTGAAACACAGCTAATAAGGTCAATGTTTGTTATCAGTTTGACTTGTATTTTTTTTTTAAACACTAATTTCATAAGATGTGAGTTTGAAATGGTTGACTGTGCATGCAATAATTGGCACTTTCTCCCCCCAAATAAACAGCTTACAGAGAATCAAAATTTTATGTAAAAAAACAGTATCTTCTACTTCTAATCAAGGTACTAAAAATGTATCCAGCTTTCTACAGTAAATATTCCTTATACAATGTATTACAGTTTGCTCTGGGCTTTTCTTGCCATGTCCAATATAAACTTTATTCTTATGTACTTTATTCCTCATTGCAACCATCACAAGTCCTACTGAAAGGCCAAGAAACTTCTTGGCAGATTGCATTTTATTCACTAGATGATTATGCCATTTGCACACATTTGAAGTAGACAGCAGGCTGCTACTTCCTCCAACAACTAACTTTCCAGCAACGTAACCATAACAGAATGAAAATACATCAGCAATGCTAAAATGAGAGCTGGTTAGGTTGAAGACAGCTCTGTTTACCCTTTCCTTTACCTTTTTCAGTATGCTCTGGCTCTGGTTGATTACTACTACTGGAGCTGACGCTGGCATCAAAACCGGTTGGAGAAATATTTCCCTCAGACTGGAGGTCTTGCAGCTCCCCTGCAACACTGTCCACCTCTATTGTGCTATCTGTTTCACTTTTAATGCTTCGTATCTCTTCTTGATTTGGTGGCAGCATCTCAGAGACAGTGACACTGGACTGGTGTCTACTGGACTCTGTTACAGTTACGGATGAAGGCGATTCCGGAGTCGTAGGAGGAGTATTAAGCACTGAATTACTGCCACTGCTTGGAAATTCAACTTTCTTTTCACCCACTTCAGTCGGTTTCTCCTCCACAGGTTTAACATCCACATTAGCTGGCAAAGACTTTTCAAGTTCAGAGCTAGGCAAAGAAATGTCTTCTTCTGCAAGAGTCTGAAGCTGCTCCTCTGCTGCAGCATCCTCAGGGGCAGCGTGTGGAGGGGAGGCAGCAGCTTCAGTGTCAGAGTCTGAGAACAGTTCCTTCAGTGTTTTCTTCGGCCACTGTCCCTGAATACTTGACCAGACATCTTTTCGATCCTTTGCTCTGGTGTTCTGAAGTCTCTCATCAGAGTTATTTAGAAGCTTTATTCTCTTCTCTCCCACTTCAGAAAATCCTGAGTAGAAAGTACTTGTCCGTAAAGACTTCCTTTTCTCCTCGAGTCCATTGTACTTTTTAGTCGGGGTGATTTTCAGTTTAGATTTGTCTTCCTCATCTTCATCCGAGGAGCTGTTACTGCTGTTTTCTAAACTAAGGGAGTCTTTGTTTTTGGACTTCTCATCCTTTCTATTAGGTGACACAGTCTTTAAAGATTCCTCTGAAACACAGTATCTCCGTTTACCACGTTTAACCTGTGGTTTTGCTGCTTTATCCACTACCTCCTTTTTTACATCCTTTCTCTTCTTTGTGGCTTCGTCTTCTCCATCAGAGTCAGTATCTTCAGATAACTCTTCCTTCTCTTTTCGCAGTCTTTCAGGAGACTTGGACCCCGACTTGGCCACTACTACATCTGTCAAAGCTTTAGTTTCTTCTGGGAGGGATGAACCGTTCTGTTCTTCTTTTAGACAGAGTTCGCTTTTATCTTGGTTTGCAGCTTCATGTTGAGATTCCTCTTTGCCATCAGCATGTACATTCAGGGCACTTTGGTCATCTTCCTGCTCACTATCATCAGAACTTTCAGAAGCTAATTAAAAATAAATCAAAAAAACAAAACAAGAAATGTCTTGATTCTGGTTACGAAGAATTCTTAAAAAAAACCCAAAACAAAACAAACTAAAGAAATCTGTACAGATATGAACACATGCTACAGGGGTCTCTAGTAGTATATATTTTAAATGGTACCTCCTGAAGACTTAAAAAATTTATTTCCTGTTCTGTTAGAAGGTATAATGGCTATATTAGGAACTAGTAAAATTCTGTGTCATTCAGTACATCTACAGGAATTTCTGAAGAAGTGGAAAAAGCATAGGGTGCATCAATCCATAGAATACAAGCCTCTGCCTAATTAACCCAAACCAAATACTACCATTATCTGCCCTTTTTCCAAAGCCTAGAACAGAGACAGTATTTCCTCTGGAGAATACAGTGTCTAAAAGGACAGAATGACAACAAAGACACTGGATCATCTCTAACAAACCAACCTGACGACCAGCCTGGAAAAGGGAAGTAAAAGGATCATGAAAGATACCTGGAGAAATATATGAACAATAAGAACATAGGACAACAGTAAGAAAATTCAGGGTCAGGAATAAAGAAAAGGAGAAAGGAAGAACAAAGATATAGTGGAGAATGAATCAACAAGTCCATTCCATGGGAAAAGACATGGATACAAAGAAAAACAATGAGAATTGTCTCAAATATATGGGTAACTCCTTAATTTGTAACTCATCCATTTTTGTTGGCACAGCTAGTTTAACTTTTCTCATCCTGCTTTTCATCTGTCATTCTCAATGCCTCGCTAAAACTCACCACCTCTTTACTGATTGTAGTGTGACCAAAAACAGAGAAGAAAAGCAATACTGTCAAGGAAATTCACTGAAGTGGTCGAAGTTGAATTAACTTTTTTTAAAAGGATTTACTGAAATATGATGAACTTAAGAGAAGAGCACACTAACAGAGAAGAAATGTACAGGACAAAATACCATGCAAAATGTTGCATCAGGTGTTTTTCTTGGTTCATCTGTTTTAAGATAGGCAGGATCTTAAATTCCACTGTAAGACTAAATCAGAAAGCAAGTTTTACACAACAGTTTCAGAGTTGTTTGCTGTTTTCTAACTAAACATTAATGGTAGACATTTTGGCCTAAAGTTCCAAGAACTCTATAACTTAAAATGGACTTCTAACACATGCCTTTCTCATACCTTCAAGGATCAAAACTACACAACTATTATAAGAGGTACCAAAATTTGCCATTTGAAATAAAAGCCAAGAACACCACATTTGGAAAAACAACCAGAAATCAGGTCCAACAAGTTTTCCTCTCAATCTACTTAGTTATCCGTGCCCTTCAAAGGAAAGTTGAATACAATAGCATTAATCATTCCAGTTTATGGAAAAAAAACCAAAACAAAACAAAAGTGTAAAAGGTTTTGAGCAAGCAGCAATAAAATCAGAGGAGAAAGAAATAGTACAAAATTAGAGGTTTTCATACTTAAAAACAAAGACCCACAAGTAATACAAAATGTTAATCCCCAGCGCGAACCTATGTAACTTAAATGATAAAGGAATTGCATACAATTAAAAGCATTTCCGGAAATATATTACATAATATGGAAAACATTTAGCTTTCCAAAATATCAGAGGGTGTATGTCAAATTGTGCTTTTGTAATCAGAAGTTAATCACAGATTAATTGTAGCACTAATAATAGTGTCATTATCATCACCACTAATTGCTTTTTTGTTCTTCATTTCCTAAGGAAACAAAGCTTAATAGATTATGTTGACTGTTATTCCACCTACAAATTTGAACCCAGTGGCCAATGTCATCCAAGTTCGAGTAAGTCTGAAATTATTAAATTCATACAACTTCCACAAAAAATGGTGGTTACCCAAACTAGCTATACTGTATATGACTTCTTTTTCTGCAGCCATGCACTATATTCAAGGATAAAGAGAAGCAACTAGTTATTATAATACTGCTGTAAATGTGTGGGAAGGGGAAAACAATGTTAGGAACAACAGATGTGCTGAGAAGCCAGGCAAGTGAGGAAGGTAGGTCCACCTGGGAAGACATCCAGGG